GTGGGTGGGTGGGGGGCGGTGGAAACGGATGTGTGATGGAGCGGATGCCGATACCAGTGAGCGTGAGTTGGACCTGAGCAATGCTTGTTTCTCTTCCCGACAACTTTACAACTTCCACTCTGCTGCCTTGCCATGCACGGTTATCAATCATTCCCCGTCATCAACCAACACTTTATCGTTGATCGCAAATACCAATTCCTTCGTGAAATGGGTCAAGGCGCTTACGGCGTCGTTTGGTACGTTGCTTCCTCTCATTTCGTCCTCTTTCAACCTGCTCACACACTCTACGTGTCGTTACTTGTACAGTGCAGCAAAAGATACAGAATCAGGTGAACAAGTAGCTATCAAGAAGGTAAGAAGAATGGATCCTACAAAGCCCAAAGTTCAATATTAAAAGCTGTTGTATCAAAGGTCTGCCGAATCTTTGAGAAGAACATCCTTGCCAAACGTGCCTTACGTGAAGTGAAGCTTCTTAAGCACTTTAACGGACATGAGAACGTATGTAAAAGTTGAAGGCATATGGTATTCCTTTGATCTAACGATCCTTTGGTTGTTGTAGATCACCTCCATCATCGACATGGATATCGTCAACCTTCAAGACTTTAACGAGCTGTAAGGGTTGTTTATTATGCAATGGTAATGAAGGGATGCTTAACATGGATACTTTCAGGTACTTGGTGCAAGAGCTTATGGAGGCTGATTTACATCAAATCATTCGTTCTGGACAACCATTGACCGATGCCCACTTTCAGTATTTTGTTTATCAAATCTGCCGAGGATTGAAGTACATCCATAGTGCAAATGTGAGTACATCATATCGTATCATCGCCTATGCCCCCATGGATGCTCACATCTTTTGACAGGTTCTTCATCGGGACTTGAAGCCAGGTATATTAATGATCATCGATTAATTGCTTTGTGTCATGGCAACTCGTCTTACATTCCATTTGCTAGGAAACTTGCTGGTCAATGCTGATTGTGAATTGAAGGTAAAGGATCATCATGGATTGAAAAACGTAAGCGAAGGAAAAGGTTAACTTGGGGGGTTGTTGTTGATCATAGATTTGTGATTTCGGCTTGGCTCGTGGTTATTCGGAGAACCCTGAAAGCAATGCAGCTGGATTTATGACGGAATACGTTGCCACTCGCTGGTATCGAGCACCTGAAATCATGTTGAGCTTCCAGAACTACACAAAAGCGAGTAAGTACTTTTTCCCTACCTTTTATTTGGTGGTGTATATTGACATTGAGACCTGTTGGTAGTTGACATGTGGTCGGTTGGTTGCATTTTTGCTGAGATGCTTGGTGGAAAGCCCCTTTTCAAAGGCCGAGACTGTAAGTCAATGCATATACAATCTTGGGCCATTACTCATTTGATGCATCTAGATGTTGATCAACTCAATCAAATCTTGGGTATTCTTGGTACACCTGATGAAGAAACTTTACGGCGTGTTGGCAGTGAAAGGGTAAAGGGAACGGAAGGATCAATGTAAAGGGAATGATTTGTGTTACTCATACTTTGGTTACACAGGCCCAAGTATATATTCGCAGTTTGCCGCATATGCCAAAGATCTTGTTCCAGAACTTGTATCCCAGAGGTACGCTATTGTTAGCCTCTCGCACTAAAAAATCCAAACTAATATGCTGTGACTTGCTGTAATAGCCAACCCATTGGCCATTGATCTATTGAACAAGTTGCTTGAATTTGATCCTGCAAAGCGAATCACTGTGGAAGAAGCATTGGCACACCCATATCTTAGTGCTTATCATGACGTGGATGACGAGGTAGGTTTCAAGGTATATCATCTTGGAGATGTAATCTTATTCATGGATGGACAGCCTGTACATACCGAGACCTTTGACTTTTCATTTGAAGTGGTGGAATCAATCGAAGACATGCGAAGTAAGTCTTTATCATTATGCGCAAAATGTATTGCATTTTACTCAAACTCTCAAAAGAAATGATTGCCCAGGAAGTCATGTCCTTCAAAGCCAGCAAACAAGGATTGTTGCAGCCTCAACCCAGTGTCAGCTTACGACGAAAGGAGAGGTATACATCGGTTGACAAGCTTCTAGTGACTGTTTTACCGATTATTCACACTTTTTACGTTCGTAGTCTGTCAGCGCAGGATCGCGAAACATTGGAGAGAAGCCAACAAGTTGCAGCACAATCACGGACAACGGATGGCGGTGCGCAAGATCCACATGCCGCTGCTGCTAGCGGATCCGTAGCAGCATCAACAGTCGCCAACCATCCAGTGAACCACATGGAAGTGGACGAGCTTGAACGAGAATTGAGCGGGCATATGTAGATCATGCAAATAGCAGCCATAGTAGATTCAATCACTATAAACAACTTTTTGTACTCGCTTTGTGTTGATATCGAATCATGTTCCCTTGCCATCCATCATCATTGTGTATATGTCATTCAACATCAAGAACAAAAAACCGAACAAGCTGTCAAGTCTCGGGTTTACTAGCGCATCAGATAAAAATTGATGCGGCAAATTCAATTGGCAGGATGTCGTTGTGAGCTAGCAACACTGAATTACCCTATGTAGCAATATGGTGTTGTGATCTAGCAACGCTGAGTTGCCCTAAAAAGCAATACGATGCTGTGACATCCGTCAAGCAGCTAGAAATCATCATTTTCAATCTTCATCTCAATCCATAGACATAAAGATATCCAAGAGTCCTAAAGGATTTCCATCTTGTCCCATTTTCTTTACATTGAATACTACACACATAACGAGACACGGCATTATTCACAGCAAAACATCCTGTCATAATCGCATTTACTTTTTGCCCTTTTCTTTGATACAATGGAAGACACATTTAAATAATGATATGGAAGTATAATATGGAGTCATCGGAATTACACATTCGATCCTTTTGCAGTTGGGTCCTGGCTAGGGTACTTGGCAGTGGATCCTGAGATTGATGGAGGAGCAGGTGGTTGCATTGCACCCAAAGAGATTGATGATGCTGCTTCTAAAAGGGACCATGAGTTGTTGCTTCTCGTATAGGACCCTTTTTACCCATGTATGATCCTTACCGCTTTTTTTCTTGTCAGATTTTGGTCCCTGAGGTCGTGCTTTGCCCCACGTCACTCGTAATGGATGTCCTTGCAATGTCAAACCAGCATCCGCAATTCGATCTGCTGCAAGTTCAGCGGCTGTTCTTGTTGCAAAGTTGACGAATGCACATTTGGATTTGTGAACAACGACTACAGATTTAAGCTGACCATAGGTGGAAAAATGTTCCCTAGCACCATGTATTAAACTCACTTTGCCATTCCATCCATATCGCATTATACATACCTCAAATCAGCCTCTGTGATGGTTTGCTCAACGCCTGTTACAAATAGAGAAGTCTATGATAAAGCGAGCCACGTTATTACCATGCCATAAACTCAAAGCCCAAATCATCCATTTCATGCTACATACCACTGTCTTATCCTCTGGTGGGTTCAACGAAGATGTCGCGCTGCGAACTCGACTCATGATTTTGGCGGCCACAGGGTCATTTGAACCATAATAGCGATCCTTGATATTCTGCTGTGCAAGTTCAGGGTCACCTGGCAATTCGTGTCTAATGGATTGAAATGTCAATTATCCATCATTTTCCATAAAGGTGAGGCACATACCGATAAGGGCAATTGCTTCCACGTGTACATTCGCCTTTGACAAAGAAGGAGCAAATGTGTGGTCGATTACGCTTGTAATAAGGCTCGCTGCGGGCTAATCGCTGCAAAACTTCACGGCTAGATGCTGTCAACTTGTTGGGATCATACATGTTCTTCTCATCTTCACCCTAATACAACATTAAAACGTTAAGGATGGACATGGAATGATTCATTTTCGTCCTTGATTGATACCTTGCCAGCAATGTTTTGTGCATAGTATTGTCGATTCACATCAGAATTGGGAGCCTCGGAATGGATATTTAATGCTTCATCTCTAACTTGGACAGGAAGACCTAGACAAAAGTAGACAACGTATTCATACGATGATAATCCTAAAGCCATTCACACCACCTTACCATATTGTAGATCCAATACACAAGTTTGACACACGTTCTTCAACTTTGCACAAATCTGGCAGATCTCGGTCTTCTTGTATCGCATATTGGTGCCAGGGAGCCAACGAAACACTGTAAACGGCCTCGAGCAAATCTACAAGATCGTGTCAGACACACAATGGCTATGCAGCATCAACACCTTACCTTGCATTCTTTGCCAAACGATTGCTTCGTCTATAGCAAGAGACAACGAGTCAGTACCCAGATTTCCCTTGTAAAACATTTTTCTATCGAGCATTGCAGTACCATGCGGACGTAAGGGTTGTCGCCAAGGCAAGTCTCGCAAACAATCGGGAATTCCTATAGTCACGATCGGTTGTTTAGCCAAGGTCAATCGACAGATGAAGCTGACACGTACGGATTCTTCCCATTGTTGCTTGTTGGGGTCTGCTTTTTGCAATTGACTCATTGTGGATCGGTGAAGAGGCAAAGGCAGCAAGAGCGGCGTTCCTCCAGTGTTGATTTTAGGCTGCGACCAAGGTGGTAGTGACAGAGACTTCAACTATGCACCCAACCTCCCTATGTGCTAATGAGACTTTGACACAGCACAGCAAAAGCCGTTCATTGTGATATTCACGCTACTATTCTATTCTGTAACTTTCGCCCTGTGATTATGACTCTTCTTTACACACTTGCTTGTTATCTTATCATTGCTCTTGTTTCCATAAACGTCAACCATCGGATATACAATGTTGTCCTTTCGTATTTAGTAGTTGCGCGTTTCAATGACAAATGGATACCATGACAACGTCTTCAAAATAGCGATGTTGATGCAGCCATCATAGCCTTGTTTATATAAAAAGACAATGAATTATCCCTCTTTATTGACAATAAAGAACAATTTCATGGAGTACAATGACACCCAAAGCATGGTATAAAACTCATTTTCTGTAGACATTTTCCACGTGTTTGGGTCTCGTGTATTATTGACAAAGAGTGAAGAAAGCGTAGCATGTGACCAGAAATGCAAATAGCGGAATATCCGAATAGTCGTAACACTAACCTTAGTTTGGGGAGATAAGGAGCTTTACTGATAAAACAGCGCAGGTCATCTAATCGTGGAGATAACAGTAAAACAAAGCAAGTTCACAATCGGTTACCAGAAAGAGCACTAGCAAAGACAATAAGAACGATAGCATCACCATATATAAATTCATTCATTCACACACCATGGTTGAATGCTTTGATCAGCATCATCATTACGGTGTGCACGGGTTGCTTGGCTCGTTATCTTTATCGGAAACGATCGGGCTGATCTGCACACGCACACGCACACACCACTCACCAACCACGGACCGCCTCTTATGTGTAATGTAACCATTTCTCAACCCTCAAACAACCATAGACAGCTTCTTATCATCGAATGCTACCCATTGTGCAACCCCACAGCTGTCGTCCGGCGTTTGAACCTACAGCGATCCCAGTCAGCTATGTGCCAGTGTTCCTTTGTAAGCTGATAGTCGGCCCTTTATTGTAAACTCGGGTGTTGGCACATATAAAAAAAGGAAGCAGCACCTTCCCTTCCGATCACACATGCTCACTATTTTTCAACACGTACCTTCTTTTTCTTTCTTTTCCTCTCTTTTCCCCTTTTTCTCACTTTCCACATATGCCACAAAAGGACAAGACCAAAGTCGCAGTCATTGCTGACCAGATCTTATCCGATCCTTTATTTCCATCCAACACCTCTTCAGATAAAAGTGCAACTAGTAAAGAAGTCCAAACACAAAAGGATCCATTAGCGAGTCAAGTATGGCGCATGTACACAAAGGCAAAAGATACCCTACCCAACGGCTCACGTCTCGAGAATCTCACTTGGCGAATGATGGCCATGTCGCTAAAGAGTAAAAAGAAGGATGATAATATCGATGAAGGCGACGCTATGGTTGTCGACGACACTCCTGAACCAGCACCTGCCACCTCGCAAACAAGTATCGACATTAGCACATCATCCACTGGGAATCCACCCTCCCCTGATGACACAGTTGGCTTGTTGTCATCTTCAGCACCACCTTACATGATGGATTTTCTACGAGAAGAGCATGAGCGCAAAAATGTCATGGTGACAGGAAGCTCTCGTGCTGATATTATGCATCAATACATGGTACGTGGATTAGTTAAGGTGGCATAAAGGTGTATGGGTGGTGTACTTACCTATGTTTGATTGTAGCAATCGTCGCAGCTTTCTACCGAAAAAAGTATCACCATCCCTTCGTATGATTTTATGACCACTGCTGCAACATCTCAAGAAGTACCAAGACAAACGCCATTGGATCATCGTTCACCTTTACCTATGTCAAGTGGATATACTCTACAAGAATCATTCACTCATTCATTGTACCAACAGCCTACCTTTGCTGCAGGATCAGCGCCAAGTAGCATTCATGAACAACAACCACATATCTTAACGCATCAAACAATGTATTCACCATCTTCACCATACCATGAGTTTTCACCAAGATCATCTTCGCCTTCGACTCCAATATCTCAAGAGTATTCCTCCTCGACGCATGAACAAGTGCACGCGGGTAGCCTTAGTTTTGAAGATTTACTTGCCCTATTCTATAATAATCAGCAGCCACAACAGACAACAGGATCGGTGGGGGAACCTTCATGCATGTCACCAACACCATCACCTCCACCTTTTATGCAGCAACATCCTTCCCCATCATCACCAGCTAAGCAACATCAGGAGTATCACACTAGCAGTAATGATATTACCAGACAAAGTATGACGTCAACATCGACATCCACACCACTACAACAGCGTAAACTATCAAGCAGTAAAGAAAACAACGCGATAAAGTGCTCCAACTGTAGTACGACAACCACCCCACTTTGGCGTCGTGATCCACAAGGACAGCCTTTGTGTAACGCTTGTGGTCTTTTTCTGAAATTGCATGGTGTGGTACGACCTCTAAGTCTCAAGACCGATGTTATCAAGAAACGCAATCGTGCCAGTGCCAGTGCGGCCAATGGCGCAAAACAAAAAGCCAAATCTACCAACACTAAATCATCAGATGCAATACAACAACATCATCATCATCGACGTAGTCTTGGTGCAGCCAACATTGCACCCAACAACAGCAGCCATCATCAGCATAGCAATAGCACCAGCAGCAGTAATGCTACCCAAAGCAAACGACAACGTCGATTACCATCACTCACTCCTTCTTCTTCATCATCCCCTCCACTTGCACCTTTTGTTGATAATTCTTTTACGAGTGGATCAACACCAACACACCAACAATCATTCATATCTTCATCACCCGTTGGCTCCAATTCTTCTCTATCTACCACAGCACCGTTACCACCTGATGTCTATGCCGTATTGCAATCCATCGGCACCCAGCTTAGTAGCTTGCCTGCAGAAATTTTGCCTTTGATTGCTTCTGCTGCCAATTACCATGCCGTCAACAAGCAACGTCAACAACAACAACAACAACAGCAAAGCGATCTCAATACAATGATCCAACATGCGTTGCAGCAACAACAATCATCAAGCTCATCATCTCAACCTTGATCCACATAATAAGGATATGCATATGGAAAATAAAACATGGTTTATATGGTTGTATTAAGTTCAAAGATGGGGTGGGTGTGTGAGAGTTGCCTAGCAACAGGATGGAAAACGTCCATGGAGATAATGTCTCGAATGGTAGGCTCGGTGGTTGAAATACCGTATCAATGGTTGACAAGTTCAGATAACCCTTTTCCCTTTACTAAATAACTTATCGTCACCCGCAGAGTCTGTTATGCTGTGAGCCTTTTCTTTTTCTTCTCTTTCATATTGTGAATGACACAGCCTGCTGGTTCAACAAGTTTCTCGTCTGACATGTCGACCAACAACAACCTTGAAGCAGAAAAAGCAACTCAATGCCATGGCTTGGACGACATGGTTGTGTCAACGACGACTACATGCACACAATCCACGACCCATTCCCCCATTGTCGAATATCCCCCACCCATTCCAGTAGCATTACGGCATCCGCACCTTGTTGCTTCAGTCAAACAATATCGTTCCGATGTCCAACAACAACAGCTTAAACAACATATCGTATCCGAATCCTTTATCCCTGTTGCACCTGATATGGTGAAGCCGCCTCGAAGACGACGGCGACCTCCGTTCTCATACTCATCCCTTATCGCACAAGCCATTCTTGCATCTGATCATGAGAAGTTGACATTACGCGAGATTTATCAGTGGATCATGGAGAAATATCCGGCATTGTATGATGTTAATGACACTGGATGGCAGGTACAATGAAGCATCTCCCATTTACGTATATCAACAAACGGGAAATTAAGCAAATCATGTAGAATACGATACGGCACAACTTGTCCTTGAACAAATGCTTCAAAAAGGTCCCAAAGAGCGAATTGGATGGAGCCACACATTCACGGGGGAAAGGCGGTTATTGGACAGTCGATCCTGCTCATATGGCCAAATACAAGGATGGCTCTTTTCCTCGAGGATCAACAACAGCCATATCACGAAGGAAGGAGCCTCGAGAAATACGCATGAAAATGACTAGCGACAACGCACCACCATCACCATCATCACCGCCACCACCGCCAACATCATCTGTTAATCCCACCAACACAACCACACAACCTTCGTCATCACAACAACAACAGCGTTCATCATTATCATCATCATCAATACCATCATCATCCTCATCATCTTCACCTTCCCGTATTATGCAGATACAAAATCTCCTCAATTAGATGTCCATGCTTACTACTACACATAATAGCCGCCTCTTGTAAATTTACCATGTCTATTATATTATCTTTGTTTTTACACCCGAAGACGACCCTTGTTATTGCCAATGATGCCATTAGTAATGCAGCTGAGGATATATACTACATACCCCTTATTTGTACGAATGGATGTGGACTGCGTTTTAGTCTTAGTGGTTTTGGATAAAACTTCATATGTAGTGGCATGATCGATCAAATAAACGGTATCGATGTTCTTTGTTCATGGGCGACCTTCTCATTTATTATTACATGATTTAGTGCAACCACAAGAAGGATCCTCTGGAGGTACTTCCCAGGCAATTATTTCTAGCCTCGAATTAGAGATTGGGTCTTATGGATAATGAGAAACCTACTTACCTCTAAATGTGAAGGAAACCCGTCTATCTCTATGTACAGTAACTCCTTCGCTCGATGATTCCACCAAATCTTTAGAGATCGAGTGCTTATAAAGATACCTAGCATCCCCTGTCATTACTAGTATGGATCGGCGAGCTATAATCCTATAAGCATCAGCATACAAGTATTCGATATTTGTTGTAGATGATTGCACGTACGTAATAAGATGTCTACTGAATTTCCTGTTTCCACGTGAGTGAACTTCATCACACAGGCTGATAACAATGACAAGGATAGGATGGCAGGACCGAACAGAGCAGGTGCATCTATATACAAAGAAAACGTCAAGATCATGGATGTCCCTTGTTGCCTTGGTTACACACTTACCTGTATGAGGCATAATGCCTTGGCCAGCATTGTATTCATTCACCAGTAGATGATCAGGTTCCTTGGGCATGAGCTTGTTTTCCATTATGCGAGTAACCACGGTATCTGTAAATGCTGGCAGGGGACCATACTTTTCCAACACTTTCCTGTTTACAAATGGGGTCAATCGCCATTGGGTTGATCGGTAGAGAGAAGGAGGGAGGATCACCTGTAACGATAGCTGAATAAATGTCCATATTGTTGTGTCCTTCGTTTGAGCTCTGGATTGGGGCTGATATGAATGTATTTAGTCTTACATGTTGCCTATGCAACAACGTATCCAAGTATCATCTTCTTACCTTACACCCAGACCACACCATGTCCTGCTATCAACTTCAGTAACTAGGGCAACCTCTTCTTCCTCGGTAACAAAATCTTCTATCACTAAAAGCCCGGGTATTTGTGTGCCATAGTCTATGTTGCGCATGGTGGATAAAAAAAAGTGATAAAACGATGGAAACAACGCACGCCAATGTTCAACTTGAAAAGCAGCGGAGAAGAGATCCAACAGCGCTTCTTTTACCTCTCTCTCTTCCTCTCTTTCTCAGCCTTACTCATACACGCGCACACACACGCACACACACATACGAATGACAGCAGCTCAATGGAAGCAATTCAATTTCTTCGACAGACAGCAATCGTTTGACCCAAGCGACAAGAGCAAGTCACCTGCTGTCTTTGAGGTAGTTCATCTCTTCCTTTTCGTCGTAAATGGGCTTTTTGAGCTCTCCATGGCCGATTTATGCGTGCTCACATTTACTCCCATGGACGTGATAGAAACCAGACATCTCGGTTATGACGAGTGGCCGTGGGCAAATTGCGTTGGCAGATATCCTTTTATTTTTGAAAACAAGCATGCAACATGATAACGAACACGTCGCATATCAATCTTTAACCTTTTGCAACACATTCGACAGGTTTAGTTTATGTGTGCGACCGCAACTTCAAGACACATTCCTTCCTGGCATACAAGGATGGCCGAGTGACCCATTTGAAGCAGCTCAAACAAAAGAACATCCTGATCACAGTCGGAGTAGGTGTCTTTGTGAGGGAATTGATTGTCGCAGGAAAATGGGGTTCGTCATTGACCACTTTTTCCATTGTAGGAGGAGGATGGTGGAACACCCGTTGCCAAATTCTGGGATATGGATTCTGTGAAATATGGGGACTCTGAGACGATCACGCCTACATGCATCAGATCAATCAAAATACAACATGGTGCAAAACCTTATCCGGTACGTAAAATGATCATTCCTCGATATCATGCATGAGCCATGTTAACAATGACCCAGGTTACAACCATTGCTGTTCTCGAGAACATGTCTCAAATGGCCATTGGATTAGCAAGTGGAGCAGTCATTCATATCCGAGGTGATCTCTCAAAGGACCGTACGATCAAGCAAAAGGTCATTTATGAAGGCGAGGAACCAATTACAGGTATGTGGACGTGGTGTTTGGATAAGGGATTGCATATTGATTCTTGTAACATTAGGTCTTGGATTTCGTGAGCAGACAAAGTCAACGATTCTTTTCATTGTGACGACAAGCAGCATCATGTCATACAATACCACAGCCAGCAAACCTACAGTGGTATGTAACAACAAATCAAAGATTAAGACAATCAGCTAATGATATCATGGAAATAGACCACTTTGGATGAACAAGGATGTGGGCTTGGATGTGCCGTGATGAGTGATTCTCAGGAAATGGTGGTTGGCAGAGATGAGGTATAGTAACCGGTAGTGATATCGAAGGGATCCAAATTAACATTGGGGACTAGGCAATCTACTTTTATGACTCTACTGGTCGAGGACAATGCTTTGCCTATGATACACCCAAATCATCAATGACTTGGTTCAAATCCAATTATCTTGTTATCGTTTCTCCACCCGTCACTACATCAACACAATTATCGTCTGCCAGCCGATCTTCATTACCATTCAGCCCTAAACGCAACAGTGCATTGAACGAGCTTACAAAAGTCACCATTTTCGACACAACAAACAAATTCATCGCATTCCTTGGAACATTTGTTGGTGGTATTCGGGGTGTCTTCTGCGAATGGAATTCTGTTTGGATCGTTGGAACGGATGGCAAAGTAAGTAATCGAGAAAGTATCAAAAGAGGGGGTCAAGTACTGATAGAAAGTCACTAGATATACCACCTCGATGAGAAGGACACTCCCACCAAGCTCGAGATATTGTTCAAATTGAATCTTTACGTGTTGGCGATCAACTTGGCCCATTCACAAAAGTATGATGACGCTAGCATTGCCGAGATCTTTAAGAAATACGCAGATCATTTGTATTCGTATGTATTTTGATTATCATGCCCTTGGATTGTCGAGTACTCACACCTGTTTTATTATAGCAAGGGGGATTATGATGGAGCCATTGATCAATACATTCGCACCATTGGGGAATTGGAACCATCTTATGTTATCAGAAAGGTAGGGAGATCTACGATTCAACTGGAACTTCGCATCTTTAACCAACTATCTACTAGTTTTTGGACGCACAAAGGATATACAACTTGACCAATTATTTGCAAGAACTTCACTCCCAAGGCCTTGCCAATGCTGACCATACTACACTGCTATTGAACTGTTATACCAAGCTCAAGGATGTATCACGTCTCGATCATTTCCTCAAGGTAAGCCCTTTACATTAACACAAACGACATTGGACCTAACAAGCTTTATGTGATAGACCGATGCTGATTTGAACTTTGACCTTGAAACCGCAATAAGCGTTTGTCGACAAGCTGGCTATTATGAGCATGCTGTATACCTTGCAGAGAAATTCCAAGAGCATGACCTGTACGTATAAACCCTGCTGACTGTGCTCCTTCACTAAGCAACCATACAGCTATTTAGACATTGTGATTGAGGATATGAGAGAATACGACAAGGCGCTTGCCTACATTCGCAAGCTATCACCATACGAGGTAAAACAGAAGGCATTCATGATACCGTATGCTTGGCTAATCTTGATTACTTTTTCTAGGCAGATAAGAGTCTTCAGAAATACAGCAAAACACTGCTCACTCATCTTCCGGATCAAACAACTGAAATCCTTGTCGAGCTATGCACCGGCACACTTTCAGCAAGAAATACCGATGATCATGTACAATCACCCACACCATCAGCCAAGAACAATACTTCAGCTTTGCAAACCCTTTCCATTTTACCCTTTGCCACAGCCAATGAATCAGCCTCTATTCGATCCGACAGCAGTGGCACAAATCGTGATACCAGCATTGACACCAATGAAAAGCAGCAGCAGCAACACAAGGGCAGCTTAAAGTATTCCCCACCTTCAGCACGCATCTTTATGCCAGCATTTGTTGAACGACCCAATTACCTAGTTGTGTTGCTTGAGAGCGTATATGAGAAGCGATGGGCTCATTTGGCATCTGGGAATGACAAAAACAACAACGACACTGCATCCATTCGCAGCTACAGTACCAGGGAGGATAAAACAATACATCAACCCAACGGCACAAGCACCGGGCCCACACTTTCACATCAAGAGAAGGAAGAGCGCAAAGCCATCTGGAACACGTTGTTGGAATTGTACTTGATGGATGAACAGCCATTCCCCCTTTCACAGGAATCATCTACTGGATCACGTGAACAATTAAGTGATGAGGAGAGGCAAAAGCGACGCAAGAACTTCCGTGTTAAGGCTTTGGCATTGCTCAAGGATCAAGCAGTGGATTACGATACGAATCAAGCATTGGTGCTTTGTCAGCTGAAGCAATTTGATGAGGGCATTGTATATCTCTATGAAAAGACTGGCATGTACTCGGACATTGTGCAATTTTGGATTGATAAGGAGGAAACGGATCGTGTCATTGAAGCCGTGCGAAAATATGGGTGAGTCTTCTTCTTTGATAACATTGCATGTTGACTAAAAAGATGGTATATAGACCCAAGGATTCCTCCCTATACCCAATGGTGCTCACCTACTTTTCGTCCAATGCAGAAGTCTTGTCGAAGTCAACACCGGAATTGCTCTCTGTCCTTAATCACATTGATTCACAAGACTTGCTTCCACCGATCCAAGTTGTGCAGGCTCTCGCACGTAGTGACGTAGCAAGCATCAGTCTCATCAAGCGTTACATTGGCAAAAAGATCGAGCATGAACGTGAAGAACTCAGCCAGGCAAGTTTACTTTTGAATGAACCAAATTTATTTTGAATGCTTATACGCTTGTATATAATAGAACGAAGAGCTGATAGCAAGCTACCGTGAAGAAACTGAAAAGCGAAGACAAGAAATTGACGAGCTGCAAACGAGGTAAAAGAAACAACATGGGATGCATCCCTTGATAAAGTGGCTAACATTATCTATTTAGTGCACGAATCTTTCAAGTGCAAAAGTGTACGGGTTGTGATGGCATGCTTGATCTTCCAGCGGTTCATTTCCTTTGCCGACATTCGTATCATCAACGGTAAGTAGCATAGTCATTAGCATTACTTGTGTCAGTCATTAATGTTATTGCTATAGGTGTCTTGGAGACAATGATCGAGAATGCCCACAATGTGCTATTCAGCATCGCATGATTTCTGAAATCCGACGTACGCAAGAAGCCAACGCTGATCGGCACGATATCTTTTTCGATCAGGCAAGTATTCATGCTTCTCTCTATGCGTATCCATAACGAAGCTAATTGTGTGTATCAATAGCTTGATAACGAAGAAGATGGCTTTTCGGTCATTGCGGATTACTTTTCAAAGAATACTATGACATTTGCAAAGCTCATTGATTAGCCAACCAAATCATGATAACCTTATACAATAAAAAGAGACTTTGTCATTATTAAGTTTAGAGGAGATGGCACAATCAATGCATTTTCCATTGTCTGATGGATACACAAAATCTGATTGGATGTCAATGCTGGAGCGGGAGAAGACCGAAAAGTGGTGGCTGAAGTTCAATGTCAAAGCGACCCTTCCTTCACCTTCACCTTTATCTTTCACCCACCAGACCCAAAGGAGCAACATGGACGACAATGATATGGAATTCGACATGTTCCAGTCGATCAAGCCGACTGAATTGCCTGCAGCCCCAACAAAGGCAAAGCAACCGGTTGTCATGAGCGACAGCGAAGATGATTTATCCGAAGAAGAAAAGTTTATTGCCAAGGAGAACATGGCCGCGAATCGCAAGAACAAAAAGTCGGGTGGTTTCCAATCGATGGGTAAATGAAAGCAAGTGTGCCGAGATTTACTCTATACTAAAGGATCGCACACGATCTCTGTTACTAGGTCTAAGCCATCAAGTATTCAAGGCTGTGTTGCATAAAGGCTTCAAGGTCCCGACCCCTATTCAGCGTAAATGTATTCCTCTTGTTCTTCAAGGCCAGGATGTGGTGGGCATGGCTCGTACTGGTTCTGGTAAAACGGCAGCGTTTTTGATCCCATTATTGGAACGTCTCAAGACCCATTCGGCCAAGGTGGGTGCTCGAGCTTTGGTCTTGTCGCCTTCGCGTGAATTGGCCATGCAGACACAAAAGGTGTGCAAGGAACTCGGCAAACACACTGATTTACGAAGCTGTGTCTTGGTGGGTGGTGACAACCTCGATGATCAATTCAGCATGATTGCCAGCAACCCTGATATTCTTATTGCAACTCCTGGTCGATTACTTCACTTGGCTGTCGAGATGGATTTGGACTTACGATCCGTTGAATACGTCGTCTTTGATGAAGCGGATCGTTTATTCGAGATGGGTTTCGCCGTACAATTGCATGAGATCTTATCCCGTTTGCCACAAAATCGCCAAACATTGCTCTTTTCAGCTACGTTGCCAAAGATCCTTGTTGATTTCGCCAAAGCCGGTCTTCAGGAACCTACTCTGATTCGTTTGGATGCTGATACGAAAATCAGTAAGGATTTGGAGGTAATTACTACTATGGTAATCAAAGAAAGGACATGGCTAATCAATGGTGTATGTGTAGATGGCATTTTTCTCTGTCAAGGATTCAGAAAAGGAGGCTGCATTGATTTATCTCTTACGACATGTCATCAAGTTGCCCAAGCAGACGAAGAACTCGAAGGAAGGAAAGGTGGATGATGACAAGAAAAAGAAGAAGCACATGTCAGCGAGTGAAGAGGATCGACAAACCATTCTGTTTGCCGCAACAAAGCACCATGTTGAATATCTAGCCCATCTTTTGAAGCTTCTTGGATATCAAGTCTCTTACGTATATGGTTCGCTCGATCAATCAGCACGTAGTATTCAGATCAATCGCTTCCGTAAAGGCATCACCAATCTGCTTGTGGTCACGGATGTTGCAGCACGTGGTATCGATATTCCAATCTTGGAGAACGTCATCAACTATGATTTCAGCAATTCATCAAAAGTATTCGTACATCGTGTTGGTCGTGCTGCACGTGCTGGTCGACGTGGTTGGGCTTATTCTTTGGTGACCGCTGCAGAGCTTCCATACGTTGTCGACCTTGGTCTCTTTTTGACACGTCCCTTGATCGTTGGCAATCGACAAATGGAAAAGGAACAGCAAGACTACACATCTGCTTTGGTGATCGGCTCGTTTGCCAAAGACGCACTTGGTGATGATATCGATTGGGTACGACAAAGGGTCTCTGGTGATGCTAGTTTGGAAGGCATGCACAAAACGGCATCCAATGCATACAAGCTATACACTCGTACCAAGGCTAGAGCTGCTGCTGAAAGCTATACCCGTGCCAAGGAAATCATGAAATTGGAAGCATGGAAGGATTTACATCCATTGTTGGGTAAGTGGATTTTAAATTAAAAACATGCAAAAAGACTAATTTGATGTTCATTATAGTATCGGAGGCTAATATGGATGAGAGTGAACGACAGCGGTTAGATATGATCAACATGATTTCTGGTTTCCGCCCAGCTGAAGTAAGTACAATCTTCATGCATTGCCATAAAGGATCAAGCATTTACGTTATGCAAACATAGACGATCTTTGAAGTTGGAAAGCGTGGCACCAAAAAAATTGATGCAGCAACAACAATCATGCGAACTCGACGAGCAACAATGACAGGTGTAATCACTGCAGCAAAGGAACAAGCTATCGCGGCCGCCAACGCTGAGCGTGAGCAACTGAATTCGATCCCAAGTGCACAAGAGAAGACCACAGACTTAGGAGAAGATGTAGCCGATGAAGAAGAGCTTGCGACCACCTTTAAGATTCCTGAAAGCGAGAAGAAGCAATCATCAAAGAAAGGTATGATCATTCCCTCCTTTTTAACATTGGCAATTTACTTATCAAACGTCTTTCTATGATTCTAGAGAAAAAGACGAGTCATCGTGATGAGGAATACTATATCCACTATACACAAAAGGACGCCAATACTGAGCAAGGTTATTCTATGCAAACCAATGGCAACTTTATTGAACAAGCGGGTCGCGCCCAATTGGATTTGATTGGTGATGATAACGATGCCATGAATCAGAGCCGGCGTAACGCACTTCGGTGGGATGCCAAGAAGAAGAAATTCGTAAAGGGTTCGGGTATTGGTTCAGACAACAAAAAGTTGATTCGTACCGAGAGTGGTGCTTTGATCTCAGCAAGTTACAAGAGTGGTCGATTCGATGAATGGGCAAGGAAGAAACGGATATCTATTCCACGCACGGGAGAGATCGAGCTTTCTTCAGCAAAACAATTTGCTCAAAATGGCCAACGACGTTTCAGACACAATTCGGATAATTCTCAAAAGCGTACACAGGATGGCAACGTTAAGAGTGAGCTCAAGAATGCTGAACAGATCCGCAAACAACGCAAGATCAAGGAAAAGAGGAGAGAAAAGAACGCACGTCCTTCCAAAAAGCAAAAGCGACATTAAGCATAGAACATTGGCATATACACATACTATACATCAAAATACATGCATTGTTTTTTTCAAAGACGGATGGTCTATATTGTGCACTTTGTGCTTGGGAAATTAGGGATTACAATAATATCACATAATACGTATTTACAAAGCGTAACGGAATTTGGGATGCTTGTCGTAAAGGCGATCACCGGTTTGGACTTCGGATAAATCAGTCGAATCTGGTTTACCATATTCACGGTCGCGACGATCATTCTCTCGCTTGAGCAAGAAACGAAGCAATGCTGCTGCAATAAATGCTAGGCACATGAACACCAAACATACTGCATGACCTTTGATATAGCGTGGGCTATCCTCGGTCTTGTAAATCTATGAATCCAAAGTAAGCATCATACACATACATAGGGGTGATCTACATGTAAATTACCTGGGTTCCCAACATACTGAAGCACTACATGTAATAAATCGACTCATTTTATGAGTAATGCTACATAACATGTCATTTGGATATCGTTACCTGTGCGATCATGCTTGTCATGCCAATAGCCACGCCACGCTTTGTGTGCCCAAGATTATTGTTGGATACCCACGACAAGGTCTATTACGTGTGAATAAACCCGCTACTACGATTGTATACCCGTTTGTACTTACCAGAGGAATGATGGGGTATACACCACATGCCACCAAAACAGCGCCAGCGTAACGCACTCCAACATTAAGAGTTGCCAAAAGGAAAATGTATCCAATGATTGCCAAGCACGATACGGCCATAATATGATACCCACGCTGTAGGGTGCGATCCGAATTCCAAGATACAAGCTTTTCCAGTAATCATTAGCCATGACTCTTGAGCAATTATAAATGATGTACTTACGAATACTAGCACGCACGCAGCGGCATACGGTGGAATGCTGAGCAATTGAGCATTCAGTGCACTGAAACCGAGATCACGAATAATGGTTGGGGCAAAGACAGCATAGCTGGCGAGAGCGACATTCAATCCAACATAGATCATCACTATGCACATGCACAAGAATCATGGTTATATCCACATCTTCACCTTGAATCAATGAGGAGCCTTCGTATACGCTACCTGCTAGCCAATTTTTATAGTCGATTAACGCTGAAATGAATTGGTGCTTGTCAAATGGCTTATCATCGGTGTTGCCGCTAGATTGTGTACGCATCACTGCTACGGCTTTTTCATCCTTAGTCAGCCATCTCCCAGCCGTCTCGGGCCTAAAGAACAAAAAAAAGTATGCATCGTTGAACAACTTGGCAACATTCTTTATCCCAATATCGCATCCACTTACAAGTCAGGTAACATCACAAAGCTCAAGAGACCGAGGAAAATCGTTGGCGCAGCTTCGATAATGAAAAGCCATCTATAAAGAATGTGTACCATCATTCATGAGCAAATCCAATCTCCCAGTCTTTGTCTATGTAGTCTTACCTCCAACCTGCTATGCCATGTACACCTTCAAGATTACCTAGTACTCCATAGGCGATGGCACCTGAAAAGGCACCTGCCAATGTAGATGAGCCAAAGTAAAGGGCTACCTATTAAATAGGCCATCAATAAACCATCCATCTTTACCCTGTACTTCCAAAGCCATGTATCATACTCTTGATGCAAGCTCCTCACGCTGGTACCAAAATGATAGATACAATGGTGTTGATGGTCCTACACCCGTTTCGAATGCTCCCAACCAGAAACGACATGCGATCAATCCTGCAGCATTGTTTGTAGCGGCTTGGCTAAATAGCGAGATGCGTGAATATGCATGATCGAGAAAAAGTTTGAAGACAGCCATTGGTGCTTACCAAATGGAGCAGACACCCCATAGAACCATCGTAGCTGAAATCCAACGGGATGGCTTCAATCTGCAACAAAGAAAAAAGTTCATATTTGCCATTGTTGTGTGTGCTTGGTAAGTTTTACCTCTTCACCATGAGATTCGACGGGATGTGAAAAATAACATATCCTTTGATGTCGCATTAGCCTCACAGCAGTATTTGCACCTTTGCGTCTAAAACTTACCAGCAAAAAAGATCGTCAATGCAGTGTAATAGTCGTTGCCACTAAGATGCAAATCCTCTTCCAATGTTCCAAGCCGTGCATTGCCGATATTGTTTCGATCAAGACTAAGCATCAAGTACAATATGGCGACCCAAGGGATGATACTATTTACGTTCCCACCATCAGTAAGCATATACAATGAAATTCATCCTACATACCGCAAATCGATCTTGCGCACCAGGCGGCGTTCCACCTGCTTGAAAGTATCTGGATCTTCCAAATGGCTTGGAGAGGGAGCCACTGCTTCTTCCTCATGTTGGACTTTTTCTTCGGCCATGACTTAGAGTGGTTGGGAAGGAGGAACAAAAAAGCAAAAGTGAATTATCCGATCTGGGAAAAAGAGAGATGCCTTTCAGGGGCTGTAGATGGGCAATTCAACGCCGAAATCGGTAAATCCCGTTGACTGATGCACACAGTATACGTGTAACATACTAAATAACGACAAATTGTACGTAAGCTTTTGATGCTCTTGATTCTGTATAGGTAGATCAAGCCTTTGATACCCGAATACGTCTGATCATTTTCATGTAGCTCAAGTGCAATTGCGATTTCAGTCATATTTAAGTAAGCTTACCACATACATTTGGGTCATACATAAAAATGTTGTTTTATAACGCGAGGATGGTAGGTGAATTGATCATCTTACTGTTGTTGCTGTGATGCAAATACGTGTGACCTTTGCCAGCATGTTGAAGCTCATTTCCCATTTACTATCATCAAGCCGATCAGATCACTCCTCAATAGCTTTCGCCATGGTAGCAGATTTGAACGTAGCCGATGTTGTAAGCCTGAGATGTTGTTGACCTGGAAAATAAGTATTGGGCGGTGTATCTTTCATGCGCTGCCCACCTGTGGGAACGAATCGGATTTGTCAGTGTCACCTTGAGTCATGCTGTTGCACGACCAAACCAACCTTGACAACCGATCAGAATCTATTGCTGCATACGCTCTATCTCATATTGCTATCAAAGGCTAATATGGTGCTGCAATTGATCCCCATAATGCCAGCCTTGTAAATCATCGCACGTAACGGATGATAGAGTCTTTGACTTGGCGTGGTGCTACTAACCATTCACACTTTGCATTGGAGAGCACAAATGAAATACGAGACCTCACACGTTTTCCATGGCCACTTTTGAATCCATTGTCCTCATGAAGCCATCACAATTGTCTATAGTGATTTCGAGCAACCATTGATTTGATCCAATTCGATCCCGCATGGCCTGTGCTCAAAGCTCTTTATCAAAATCACATTCCGACGCCTATCCACTTTGGTATACAAGGATGTAAAATGATCCAATCTCATATCCGACATTCAAATTTCTATTCCCCCGTTCAATCCAGAAACCAATCAAGCGATCCACATTCTGCACAAATGAGCCGATAGTATGTATAATCCAATTTTCATTCAATGGAAATCGAAGAATAAGACATAAGGTGGGGGCATCTATCAAGTGGATATCATAAAGAAACAACTTTGCCCAAGTGAAGGTATGCGTCACATATAGAGTCAAGATGTCCTTGTGTCGTTGTAATCTTGGTTGCTGCCGCTGCCATCCAGGATCCCAAAACAGCTGCAGCGTGATTGGACTCAAGCATTCCAATACCATCCATAGCGATCAACCATCCTTCGTCGAAGATAAAAGCCCTCTCGTCAATGCCAATCCAATCCATCATCATCCTCAGTCGAGTTCATATGATGTGATCCTTCCTTCCTGCTGACGATGTGCCAAAGTAACCGAAGCAACATTCCAGGAATCTCCATATCTGTATTTGATCGAGTCCATCCATTAAAGCCATCATGTGATCGCTGCTGACATGCTTCCTTTTCCATACGGCTGGCCGTTGGTCAATCCTACTTGATCATCTTCTAACGCAGCCCAACTAGGCGAAGATTGCTTGTATTGCAGCGTGCTTGATAACTGACATGGTGTCATCCATTGGAATCCGTATGTACCAAAGCAAGTTGCTACACGTAAATAAAGCTGCTGCTATACAATGGCTATCTGCTGTTCACGTAACGAAGGCCTGCAAGGCAGGTTGCTGCAAGTAACTTGAGACAATGGAGTAAACACCTTGCTAATAGCAGCTGCTGTTGCATTTGGTCGTTACAGAAAGTGTGCAAGAGCGTGTGTTGTAGTAGAATGACAAGGTCGTGAAGGCTGTTACACTTGATCGTCGTGGACGATTGTACACAAGAAGGTGTAGTGTCAAGGAAGGCGTGTGTTGTAGTAGATCGACAAGAAGGCTGTGTACACGCCATGGGCTTGCCATTCAATCAAGACAATCGGATCAAGAGAGTTGTAGGATTGACATGATGGGTTGAAGCAGCACAATCGTTCGCAGGTGGTAGTTGTACTTGAATGGGGCAACAGATGAGAAGGGGAGGAAAAGAGAAGTAGTAGGAAGTGGAAGAGCTGGAAATTAAGTAGATCTTCCTGATGCTTGGATGATACTTCTTTGTTTGAGTGCTGCTCAGTCAAATCCCCTCGAATCAAGGATGTTGAATGATGGGCATGCTGGGCTGGAGCAAGACAATCGTTCGTATGCATTGAATTGGGCAACAAAGGTGAATGGGAGGAATGGGTTATTAGCTGGCAGTTTACAAATAACTTACCAATTTGGTTCTTCTGATATTGGATGATGTTTCTGTGTTTGAGCGTAACTCAACCAAATCCACTTGGATCAAGAAAGTTGAAGGATGGGGATGATGGGCTGGAGCAGGACAATCATTCGTATGCATTGGGTTGGACAACAATGGAGAATGGTGGACTAGGTTTTATTAGCTGGCATTTGAACTATTCCTAAATAGTGTACAAGAATCATGCATCGCCTGTGCTGAATGACTCAAGTTCCACAAACGCGCCCACTGCATCTTTTGCTCTGTCAGGGTCTAGCTACTTGACAATGAACAAAGACCACTCTTCATATAGCATCACGCTTACGAACATAAAGGTGCCTGTATCTCCAAACTTTACAATGAAACGTAGGGTTTTGAATAGATCAACGTGCTTGTCGGGGTCAAAGGAATCTTGTGTCAAAGTATGAAGTTCATCGTGGGCGATCCCAGATTTCGCAATGTCGCTACCAGCCAAACTGGATCTGGGGGTCGACCTCTTCGACGACGACGACCAAAAAAGTATTTTTTGGGCTAGTTGCGACATTGAACGTGAAACTTTCACACAAGGTGCTGTTGGCCAAGCCGAGCCCATTGCTCTAATAAAAACCCCACGTTTCATTGTAAAGTTTGGAGATATAGGCACCTTTATGTTTGTAAGCGTGATGCTATATGAAGAGTGGTCTTTGTTCATTGTCAAGTAGGTGGACCCTGGCAGAGCAAAAGATGCAGAGGGTCGTGTTGTGTAACACAGCTACGTTTGCATGAATGAAAGGGTCAATGTATAATTACTTTATGGATCATCTAGGAACAGGCATGTATTGCTAGCTAACGGCCACCTTTGTCCAATCATCATTGTTGCGAGATCCACTGCATGGGAACGATGCCCCTGCTCCAGACATTCATTTCCATGATTAAAGTAGGTTGATCCGAGCTGATTTGACTGAGCTGCGGTCAAAGAGAGATTACATCACTCTGGACATAAAGCACGCTCGATGTAGCTCAACCGATGTAATCTTGTGTGAGCGTAACTCAACCAAATCAGCTCGGATCAAGCTACTTGAATCATGGAAATGAATGTCTAGAGAAGGAGAATCGTCCACCTACAATAGAATGCACAAAGGTTGGGAATGCACAAAAGTAGCTATTAACTGCCAATGTATGACCTGAAAATGAGGGTTGCGTACCTGTCATGCATGGTCCCTGAAGTCCAAACTTTTTAACCCAGTTACACAAACACGTACCTCTGCATCTTTTGCTCTGCCAGGGTCCAGCTACTTCACAATGAACAAAGACCACTTCTCATATAGCATCACGCTTACAAACATAAAGGTGCCTGTATCTCCAAAATTTACAATGAAACGTGGGGGTTTTATTAGAGCAATGTGCTCGGCTTGGCCAACTGCACCTTGGGTGAAAGTTTCACGATCAAGCTTGCCAATCCCAGATTTCGCAATGTCGCAACCAGCCAAACTGGATCTGAGGGTCGACCTCTTCGACGACGACGACCAAAAAAATATTTTTTGGGCTGTTTGCGACATTGAACGTAAAACTTTCACACAAGGTGCTGTTGGCCAAGCCGAGCACATTGCTCTATTCAAAACCCCGAGTTTCATTGTGAAATCTTGAGATATGGCTGTCTTTATGTTTTAACTATGCTATAAGCGTGATGCTATGTTAGAAGAGTTCTTTGTTCATTGTCAAGCAGCTTGTCCCTGACAGAGCCAATGCAAAGGTGTGTGTTTGTGTAACACTGCTGATTATGCATGACTAGAAGAGTCAATGCATGATACTTGCAATCCTGTTTAACAGTCCATAACAGCCATTTCATCCCACTTCCGACTTTGGTTCATTCCAATGCATGTGAACGATTGCCCTGCTCCAGACCATCATTTCCATCATTAAACTTTCTTGATCGGAGAGGATTTGATTGAAAAACGCTCAAACACAGAAACATCATCCAACTTCAGAGAAATCATTTTGCAAAGTTATTTGTAAACCGCCAGCTAGCAGCCCATTCCTCCCATTCACCTTTGTTGCCCAATTCAATGCATACGAACGATTGTCTTGCTCCAGCCCAGCATGCCCATCATTCAACATCCTTGATTCGAGGGGATTTGACTGAGCAGCACTCAAACAAAGAAGTATCATCCAAGCATCAGGAAGATCTACTTAATTTCCAGCTCTTCCGCTTCCTACTACTTCTCTTTTCCTCCCCTTCTCATCTGTTGCCCCATTCAAGTACAACTACCACCTGCGAACGATTGTGCTGCTTTAACCCATCATGTCAATCCTACAACTCTCTTGATCCGATTGTCTTTGATTGAATGGCAAGTCCATGGCGTGTACACAGCCTTCTTGTCGATCTACTACAACACACGCCTTCCTTGACACTACACCTTCTTGTGTACAATCGTCCACGATGATCAAGTGTAACAGCCTTCACGACCTTGTCATTCTACTACAACACACGCTCTTACACACTTTCTGTAACGACCAAATGCAACAGCAGCTGCTATTAGCAAGGTGTTTACTCCATTGTCTCAAGTTACTTGCAGCAACCTGCCTTGCAGGCCTTCGTTACGTGAACAGCAGATAGCCATTGTATAGCAGCAGCTTTATTTACGTGTAGCAACTTGCTTTCAATACATGCGACTTGGATATGGATCTGCATACTCTATTGCTTTGGGACATGGGATGGAAGGAATTGGGTATATTGACAAGGTTGGTTCCCATCGCCACGTGATGTCTAGTTTGGATGATACCCCATCAGCCATCAAGTTCTACACCTCAATGCAAGCAATCTTCACCTCGTTGAGTTGCAACAAAAGAAAATGACCAAGCACGTGAGTGGTCATCATCCGGATGGAAAAGGAAGCAGCACTCACAGGGGCACTTTCTTATTGGACTTGCATCGATTATGATGGAGGAATACAATCAAGTACAGTAATGAGAAAGAGGTCATGAATGTTTCCTTGTTTATATTTGGCACGTCGTCAGCACGAAGGATGGAGCTAATCACGTGGATACGGCTGAGGATGGTGATGATGGATGGGATGGAATTGACAAATGGTGCTGTACAGCCATGGATGGATGATATTGGCGTACTCGAGTTAATGCATGCAGCAGCTATTTTACAATCATGGATGAAGGATGTTTACGACGACAGCAACCAAGAATAGAATGGCACAATTATCCCCTGTTGACTCGATGTAATTCACCCGTAGCTTACAAAATCTACAATGCTCTTCCTTTATCATACATACTCGATAAACATTCATACTACCATGTGCTATTCTTCAACTTTTTCATTGAATCAACATAATACACTTGGTTCGTTTCCGGATTGAATGGGGGAATAGAAACTTGAAGATTGGAAAGCGAGATTGGATCATTTACATCATCGTATCGAGAATCTTTTGTCACAGAGTCCTAGCTCACTTACTGATAGTCGAAAGGTAGGGATGGTCCTCGAGCGCTTCTATTACAAGATATTAATTCGAGAGTGATGATGCCCAACATACGTAATGCATGTTACATAATAAACTTGGTTCATTGTAAGCTTAATTCATTCTGTGCAAGAAAGAAGGAGCTGTGACTCAATGTTTTATGAGTACATGATGAGCATGCTTGGATCTAGCTTGAGTAGGAAAAGGAAGTATATAACCTACATGTTGAGTTTATCACCTCGACTCATAAAAGAAAAGCGACATGATGGTACAAATACTCCTTTGGTAGGCCGAGGCAGAATCAGACACATGGACAATGAAGGTATTCATATTTATTGAAGCGTGATAACAAAACATAATCATACAAGCGACACTGCTATCATAACCTATGCAAGCTTTTCCACAAAGACTTGCATACCGTTCTTCATGGGCATCGTAAGGCCAGTGCGATAGGTGATATCCTGGTTAGGCGCAAGGGTAAATTTATAGCGTCTTAGCAAAAAGATGATTGCTACGATGGCTTCGAGTGTAGCTAGGTTTTGACCTAGATTGCATTATTGGATTTCAGTAAACTAGCATTCCATTGACGTACACATTATATACATGATCGATTGCACTTACCAAGGCATACACGTGGGCCTACATGGAATACTGGGAATTTGCCTTGAGATTCACGACGTAACTCTCCTTGCTCATTGATCCATCTTTCTGGTCTCAATTGTTTGGCATCAGGACCCCATATCTCTGTACTTCTTCCCTGTGCATATGGGCTCCAGCAAACAGCATCTCCTTTACGTATTCTTGTACCATCAGGCCAAATATCATCTTCCAAGGCAACCTTGACGTTGCCAGGCACCGGTGGATGGAGCCGTAGTACTTCGTACAACCTACGATGTATGCATATCACCATAGCTCAGCTCTCAAAACTCTTTTTTTGTGTCTGCATGAGGTTACACATACACTGCATGAGCATAAGGCATGTGCTTGACAACTTCATAGAGCGCACGGGAATCTGATTCATGCTCATCACGCACATTGGCATTGATTTCATCCCGCAATTTCTTCTCGATTCGAGGATGCAGCATTAAATTATAGAACGTCCACGAAAGCGCTTGAGCAGTGGTATCACGACCAGCAAGTAAAAAGTTGATCACCGTGTCTCGAAGCTCCTTGTCGCTTAGTGGGTTTCCATCTTCGTTTTGGGTATCCATGAAGCGTGACAAGAGATCCTTAAACTTCTCGCCATTGGATAAACGTTGTTTGCGTTCTTGGATGATGCCATAAACAAGATTGTCAATCACCTCGAGATGTTGCTTTATTGTTTTTTGACCCGGTGTGATACGCTTGATGGCTTCGACAATAGGCATAAAGGGATTGATTAATCGATCCAAGCAATCTTCTTGACAGCGATCAAAGGCTTCAGCAAAATCGATAGTGCCTCGAGATGAGAGCGTATTCAATTGTACATCGAAGGCGATCCTACAACATGGATAGCATCATCCGTGATGAATGGCCTTTTAGAAAACACACACACACATCATCGTGATACCTACATTACAAAGGTGTCAAGTGTGAATTTGAACATCGTGTCATGAAAGTCAATGGGTTCACCACTTTGTGCTCTCTCGTCAAAAGGTCCATCACACATAATGTTTAGCTCTTTGATGAACACGCTGTATGATAAAAGTCAATGAGCGGATGCCAAGGAAGATAAATCTTAAGCACTTACTCAGTGAAATGGTCGCGAAAATTGACAACGTTGAAAACATGGGATGCAGCTTTTCGAGCGATACGCCAATGCTCACCATTGCTGATGAAGATGCCCGTACCAAGCATATGACCAAGGGCATCTCTATAAGAATCATTCACGTGATATTAGACTGGGTCATTCCAACAATAAATGTTACAAGTGCTCTTACACCAAATCTGCTCCTTTGACGTAGTTTTCAAAGTTGGCTATAGGCTTGGATGAGTATCAAAAGTCAAAAGTGACATTATTCATGATGCAACGTACTTTTTAGGAAATGTTCAATGTTGAGCGGATTGATGGTAACGACGGCAGGTCGAAGACCAGCTGCTGAAGCGGAACTGAGAATAGAACAATAACAATCATTAGAGCTTCGTTTGACAATAACGTGTTTTGTATTGCTTTGTTGTCCTTACAATGTTAGCGTGTTTAGCCGTTCGAATGCTTCACAATCCATGTCATGAGAACGGTCCTTATTAATAATCTGGCTCAAGAGCGTTCCAACCAGTGGATGCCCTTCAATCATAGGGATGCCCTCGGGTGGCTCATAGAAAATGGCTCGATTGTTGTATTTGAGAGCCAATAAGCTGATGGTCGCTGCTGTAGCAATACCAATAATGGATGCCAAGTGTTTAAAATCGGTGGTTGTTGTGATTGGCATGATGTGAAAAGGGAGTGAGAGGGGAAAACAAAAGAAACCGAAGAAAAGGGTAAGCCAAGGATCACTTGGGTGTCGCTGCTTTAGTTGTGGCACGGAAGCCAATCATATTGTGTCACACAATGGATGGTTACACACCTCGATCGGCTACCATGTCACCGCGCCCCACAACCTGGATATGATAAGCTATTTCCAACAAAGAGCACTTATCTTTAACCGAGAGCTGGGAACACACAAACGGCGATTGTTGGTATCAATAATCATATTACTCAACTCTTTCTTTAGGGAACAATGGATGAAAAGGGATGGTTCATTCATTCGCGGGGAAGCCACTCACATTAGCGGCGATGAGGAGGAATAATTTCATCCGAGCGGGCCTAGGGGCAGCAGCATTGGCGGAATGTTATGCATGAAAAATGCAAACATGGTACGCCAACAATGTTGTTTTTTCCAACCTACACCACAACCACAGCTTTATCGTGATTGTATATGGTATTGGTGAGTTCCTATATCATTTGTGAATAGAACGTATGCAGTGACAAGGCTTGTTGGCCAGGTATATATAAACAATGGATTGAACAGGCCCTTGTGCCTTCTTTTGGCATCAACATGCTTTCATACCCCCGTCGTCGACCATGTGGAAAGTCAAGACAACGCCAGTGAAGGTTAAATGTTTATTGAAACAACAACTGCCACAACAACTTTTACTTCTCTTTCACTTTGACGACTTTGGTGGATTGCACAATGAAGGGTTTATTGGATCTTCCCAACGAGATTATGCTACGGATACTACATTACGTCGAACCTGTACAGATCAGCACCTTCCTTTCGACATTGAGGAACCTGATTACACTGGAAGATAACGAGCAGCTTTGGCAATCCCTCGCTGGGACATTTGGAATCACGTGCAAGCAGCCTTATGGGTCATGGAAGGAATTAGGCTTTTCAGGTGACCTGATGACGACGTGTCCTCATTTGCAAGCCGTCGATTGTCCTTGTTCACTTTTACGAGCAACATCCGCCATCAAGCATGATACGCCTTGCAGCTGTGGCCAACAATCATGGGCGTGTCTTGAATATGGTATTTGTCTAGGTAATTACACACAAAGAGGAAGGAGGAGATGGTGAGCGGTATCCAGGCAACGCGTTGTACTGATATATGATACGTTTATCCAAAGGATGCCGCGATGGCACGCCACATTGTTTATCCAATCGCCAATGCACTCATGCTGTTGTACTAAGGCTCTCAGTTCCCAATTTCATGGAAGTATGGTGCTCTTCATGCTCAAGAACGGTAAGAAGGAGAAGGTTGGGATATGAATATGGACATCAATAAGCTTATTGATAAGACATCTTAGCTTGGTTTATGGGAGGATCCTTGGAAAGAGCAGTATATGGTGCGATCGATATTGCGAACTTACATTTCACCTGAGCAACCACCTGGCGACAAGACCGCACTCATTCAACAACGAAGGGAAGCTGAACAATACCAATTTTGGATGTGGTTCCGTAATCCTTCTCTCGATGCAAGCACCAATTTGATATCAGTCCATGGATGTTACCTTGTTGATCAAGAATGGTTTGCTTCTTGGGTGGATTTCCTTAAAGGTAAAGCCTATTTATGGCTGTCATAGGCGTTGGTGATAGTGACACTGATACATGGATATTGCTGCTACAACATACAAGGTATATCTGAAATCCCAGGCCGAGTTTCAAATGGCAATTTACTTGCTATGGATGGATCTATCAAGCCAGACCTCGCTTTGGGAAGGAACTTTGTTTTGCTTAGTGAACGCGCTTGCTCATTCATTACACGGATTTATGGTATTGATGGATCACTTGCATCTATAGGTAATATAGAAAGAAAGGAGGGGTTCTCAATGATAGTGTTGCTTTATTGATTCTCATCCATTAGATCATGTGAAGAACAAGCCCGAATACGCACGTTTGGTTCATTCAGTACGAGTGCAAGAACAAATGGCTATACATCAAAGAGTAAGGCCTATTGTGGTCTCCGTAGAACAGCAATCATTAGTATAAACCTCCCATTATCTTTATAATATTAAAAAATAGAGTAATTTACAAATTTGGGATAAAGGATTATAGTACAAAGGAAAAGGATGAAATGGAAGGATAATAGCGAGAGGTGGATATCGTACAAAGGCAAAAAGATGGCACCCAGCAAAGTCAATGTAAATGGAAGACATCATTAGTATTGGAATGTATCATCACATCGTCGTATAAACTTACCATCAAGATTTCCCAGGCGGCAGAAAAAAGAAAGAAAAAGGGGAACGAGAGAAAGGGGAACAAGGAAGGAGAGAAAGAGGGAAAGAAGAAGAACAAAGAACAAAGAAAGAAAGAAAGAAAGAAAGAAAAAAGAACCGCCCGGGGTGCCCTCCCCTCACCTATGTACAATAAAAGATGTCAGTTCAGCAAGATGAAAGCAGAAAAAGAAGTGTACTTACCGTGCTCGGGTGGGTTCGGGCAAAGGAATGCAGACAAAGCTGTTGAAAAGTTGGGGCCAAGCAGAGGATTACGGAGGATCGTGCCGGTCACCCTTGATGTTAATCTCTATAGAAAGAATGTAAGAAAATGCTATTACATGATGAATAAAACATGCACTTACTGATGATAACGAAGTGGAAGACGAGGAGGAGAAGAAGCAAGCAAGCAAATAGGTCTGAAGATAGCTACAAGAAGTACATACGAATGAGATGGCATTAGATGAATGCTATAAGCTGTCCACTTACCAAATGAGCGTGTATGGGTGTGTATGCGTTTGCGCGAAATTAACGAGAAGAAGATGGGGAAAAAGGGTGCTGCGGAACGGGGGGTCGCCTTTTATCATTTCTGCGCGTAACACGCGACATGAGCACGCCATCACATTGATGATACCTCTGCCCTTGGCTTTTTTCTTTTCAATGCAATCCTTTCCCCTGATCATTGT